AATGGAGAGAGAGGGATGAATAGGCGAGACAAAAAAGGATTTTTAAAAGGACAGTAAAACTACTCTGTATGATGCTATAATGGTGGATATACGTCATTACACATTTGTCCAAATGCATAGAATGTAAAACACCAAGCGTGAACCTTAACATAAACTATGGACTTCAGGTGATAATGGTGTGTCAATGTAGGTTCATCAATTGTAACAAATGTACCACTCTAACACAATATGTAAACAATAGAGGAAACTGTGGGACAGGGGAGGGAGGACATGGAAACTCTTTGCTTTCTGATTAATTTCTCTATAAACCTAAAATTGCTTTAAAAAAATAAAGACTACTAATGTAAAAAAGAAAAAAAACATTATCTTTGGAGGATTCTATGAATTAATTGTTCTGAAAATTGTTAAACAAAGAGAAAGATTCAAACATTTGATGTCTTTCCAATATACACTGGACCACTGGAGGATCAAATAATAGATAAGCAAAAGTTTCTCTTTATAGACATATTTCAGTTATTAGTTCATTAAATATGAAATGTCCAATTTTGAATCAAAAGTGTAGGTTATTATATCTCAAACAAGAAGCAATACATTAATCAAAGTATGCACCTAAACTATCAACACAATTTTGCCATCTTGTTTATGCCATCAGTGAAGAAGCCTGAAGAACAAGTGGCGATGAAATCGTGAAAGGTGTTTTCCACAGCTTGTCGAGAATTGAATATTTCTCCTTGCAAAAAGTGGTCCAAAGCCTAGAAGAAGTGGTAGTCAGTTGGTGCAAAGTCTGGTGAAAATGGTGGATGACAGTTTCCAAGTCCAGCTGTTGTAGTTTGAACAGTGCTGTTTGTGCAACATGTGGTCGAGTGTCGTTTTGCAAGACGATTAGCCTGTCTCTATTGACCAATCTCAGCAGCTTAATCACAAGCATCCTCTTTATTTCATCCAGTTGGTTGCAGTAGACATCTTCTGTAATCAATTGACCAGGTTTCATGAAGCTGTAGTGGATAATACCAGTGCTGGACCACCAAACAGACACCATTAGCTTTTTTTTTGATGAATATTCAGCTTTGGACTGTGTTTTAGCACTACATCTTTATCCAACCACTGTATTGAACGCTTGCAATTGTCAAAAAGAATCCATTTTTCATCACCCATAATAATACCATGTAGAAATGGTTCGCCTTTATGTCATGACAGCAAAGACAAGCTTTGAGATGACTTCTCTTCTGACAATTGTTTCATTCATGTGGAACCCATCTATCCAGCTTCTTTACCTTGTTGATTTGTTTCAAATGGTCCAATATTGGAATAGTAATGTCAAACCTTGCTGCTAATTCACACGTAGGTTGAGACAGATTTGCTTCCACTACAGCTTTCAGTTCATCATTATGTACTTTGGTCTTAGGTCACCCATGTGACTCATTTTCAAGAATAAAATCACCAGAACAGAATTTCTCAAACCATCAATGTACTGAGTGTTCATTAGGCACATCCTTCCCAAACACTTGGTTGATATTTCAAGCTGTCTATGCTACATTGTTTACATAACATTAACTCATATTCAAAAAATAACACGAATTTTTTACTTATCCATGGTTTCACAAAAATTGCTCTAAACATTTTTTAAAGATAATCACAAGCCAAAATGTGCATTTGAGAGACTGAGGATGTACCTTCACGATAAAAAATAAAACAAGAAGTGTCAAAGTGAAATGTCAGAGATATTAACCGTCAAACTTAGCACTTAAGGAAATCGGACATTTCATACTTAATAACCTAGTACTAAGGGAAAGGAATGATATCTCCATTTTATATCACCTGATCAATTAATCTGTCTAGGCAATGATCATCAAAGACTGCTAAGAATACACAGAGACTCAACCAGGTAGAATAAAACACCATCTTATAGAAAGAGAGAGAGAGAAGGGGAGGAAGGGGAGGGGAGGGGAGGGGAGGGAAGGGAAGGGAAGGGAAGGGAAGGGGAAAGGGGAAAGGGAAAGGAAAGGGAAAGAGAAAGGGAAAGGGAAAGGACAAAACAAACCTCAGTCTGATGAAGCCTCTCTAGATCCAACCACCAATTTACAGAAAATACAATACAGAGGACATGCTAAATGACACTGTGGGGATGCAATCAGCAAAATTAATATTGTGAGAAACTGTAGGACAAATGACCAATCTCTTCAATAAGTAAACTTCAAGAGGAAAAAAGAGGTGTTAAGGAAATCTTTAAATTAAAAGAGACTTATGAGTCCAGTCAATCAATCTTAATGTGTGAACTTTGATTTTGATTCATACGAACTCAAAATTCAAAAAATTATTAGATAATTGTTAATTTGAATATTGACAAGATATTTGATGATATTTTAAAAATCATCAGGCCGGGCGCGGTGGCTCACGCCTGTAATCCTAGCACTCTGGGAGGCCGAGGCGGGCGGATTGTTTGAGCTCGGGAGTTCGAGACCAGCCTGAGCAAGAGCGAGACCCCGTCTCTAC